GTGAGGGAGGAGGAGGGCCGCGTGGCCCGGGAGGCAGCATGGATGCGCTGCAGGGCCAAAGCCACAGTAGCCAGGCTCCCCCCCCCCCCGCCCCCAGCTCAGCGAGGCTGACCGGGGGGCTGGGCCCTCCGAGCGGCCATTCCAGAAGCTACATGTCCTCCTGCTTCGCCAAGCCCCCTTGAGATCTGTCTTTTTTTCTTTCCTGGTCAGTCCTGGTCCTGAGGCTTAAACCTGAGGCCTGAGCTGCTGTTGCTCAAGGCGAGCGCCCAGCCACTCTGAGCCACCACGCCACTTCCGGTTTTCTAGTGGTTCACTGGAGAGAAGAGTCTCACAGACTTTCCTGCCCGGGCTGCTTTGAACTCTGATCCTCAGATCTCAGCCTCCGGGGTCAGCTAGGCTGACAGGTGGGAGCCACCGGCTCTGTCTAGTGGTGAAGAGGTGTCTAGCCTCAAGTGTGATTCTGGGGGTGTCAGAAGGACCCGGGGAGGATTTGGGCGGTAGAAGTGCGCGGCGTCGGCTGTGGGGCTGGCACAGGGACCCTCCTCATCCGGCTGGTAACACTGTGGGCTCCAGGGGGCAGCACCGCATCTGCTCCAGCACGGGTGGGCACGGGAGGGGAGCTGGCTTTGTGAGTTCAAACCCAAGGCCAACCAAGGAATGAACCTGCCGGAGGCCTCGGGTAGGAAGAGAGCTTCCTGTCGCTCAGGGTGTTCAAGCCGGGGTAAGTGGGGGGGCCTGGGGAGAATTCATGCACTAAGTGGGGTGGTACCTGGTGATTTTTGTTTGGGGGAGGGTTGTCCCTCCTTCAGGGTAAGAATAGCTCTGTGTGTGTGTGTGTGTGTGTGTGTGTGCGTGCATGTGCACATGTGCCCATTGTTTGTCAGTACTGGGGCTTGTTTGCTGTCTCTTAGCACTCAAGACTAGCCCTCTACCACTTGAGCCATACATACCACTGCTTCCAGCTCTTTTGGTGTTTAATTGGAGATAAGAGTCTCACGGACTTTCCTGCCCAGGGCTGACTTTGAACCTCCATCCTCAGATCTCAGCCTCCTGAGTTGCTAGGATGACAGGCGTGAGCCACCAGCGCCCGGCTTTCAAGGAATTTTTAGTGGACAGAGACAAAGGCCCAGGCGACATGTCCCTCCCCTCCCCTCCCCACGCCTCCTTGGCACCTGACCTTTGGAACATCATCTCCCCCCCTCCCCCTTAAGCCTCCACCCAGCCCTCTTCCCCTCCAAGCTTGGGCGGGAGCCAGCCAGGAAAGGGCTCTCTTCCTCTTCCTCAAGTGGAGGCCTGCCCATTCTCCTGAGCTCTTTCAACGGTACATTCTCCGGAGCGCTTTCTCTCCTAGTATTCCTCCTGCTGCCCGTCTCCCCCCTCCCCCCACATCTCCTTCCTAACCCAGACTTAGGGCAGCAGCTCCATTTCTGCCCACTCCAGAAAGTTCTCAGCAGGGCTCCCAGATCCAGGGCTGACCCCACAGGAGCAGACATGGTCTTGCTTAGCTTGTCTGCCCTGGAAGAGTGGGTCCACCGGAGAAGGGGAAAGATAGACAGGTGGCCAGCAGGCTGGCAGGTGTCTGGGGTGGACGGAGACCCGCTCAGCTTGCGGTGTCTGTCTGTCCTGGAATTCTGACCTCCCATCTTTCTCTCCTAGGTGGCAGGGAACCAGGGCTCCTGGGATTCGCTGGTGAGCCAAGTTCAGTAGACATCTCAGGAACTCACATGCTCAGAGAGAGACATGTGTGTGTTTCCTGGTCCTCTGAGTGCGGTGGACGCTGGGCCTCGGTGCCCTGCCAGGGGGGAGCCCCAGCCTGGCCGAGCCGGTCGGTCAGAGGCCATCAGTTCCACCTCCTCCCCAAACCCTGGCTATCAGAAGGGATCTGCTTAGCTTTGAAGGGCTTTACTTCTAGTCTCTTCTTGATCAGCAGTGGAGGGTCTGCTGGGGAGTCTCCTCACCCCGGCTGGCAGGGAAGGAGAGGGGCAGGGCTTGCCCTCGGATTGGCAGGCTGCTGAGCCGGGTCATGCTCTCCCTGGGACCCCTGGGTTGGCCGCACACTGGGAGTCGGTAGGATGTAGGGTGTGACAGGCAAGCCCCCCAGGTGCTCTGGACTGCTGCTGACCTCCAGCAGAAGGCCAGTCTCCTTCATTGTCTTGTGCTCTTACTTGGCTTTTTTAGGCAAGTCTGGCCCTCTACCCCTTGCATCATGCCTCCAATTCCAGTGTCCTCCTTGTGTGTGTGTGTGTGTGTGTCCTTGGGCTTGAACTCAGGGCCTGGGTGCTGTCCCTGAGCATTTTTTTTGGGGGGGGAGGGGTCCAAGTTAGTGCTTTACCACTTGAGCTACTGGTCTGCTTCTGGCATTTCATAGGTAGGTAATTGGTGATAAGAGTCTCACTGTTGTTCCTGCCTGGGCTGGCTTCGTACCCGGCCCCACAGATCTCAGTCTCCTGAGTAGCGAGGTGTACAGGTGTGAGCACCCGCAGCAGCTCGGGGTCCTCCCTTTCAGCCGCCATTCACCCCCTGCATGGACCCAGCAGCGTCCGGCCCTGACCCCACAAGCACCACCATGGCACAGACCGGGCGTGTGGCCAGGGCCCCTGGCCTGCCGGCTTGTGCCCTGCAGCCCTCGTTCCCCTCCCCCTGCCCTTCCCCCTCAAATTTTACCCCTGCTTCTGATGCCTGCGGCTTTTTACAGGAGATGCCGGGGTGCATCCTTCTCTCTTTAAAAAAAGGACCAGAGCACCTTTAGGACATCATTTTTTTGGTGGTGGTGGTGGTGGGGTCTGGGCTAAATCCTCTGCGTGCTGCCCTGCCTGCTGGCCGAATGACCCCTCCAGTGGCGGAGAAGAGGGGTTGGGGGGGAGAGGCTCCCTGGGACTCTGGTCCCCAGTGTCCGGGCCTGTCCAGCAGCAATGGAGAATCCATTCCCAGAAGGTCACTGGCACAGGCCGGGGTCCTCCCCTCCCCCGTGGGCCCCAGGCTGGTGGGGGGGGGTAAGAGGCTCTAGGGGAGGGGGTGGCGGGGGGAGGGGGGCGGCCCTGGCAGAGGCGGGTTCTTTACTCTCTCACTTCTCTCGTCCAAGTTCAGGCTCAGCAACAGGGCCACGCCGGGGCGGGGCGCCCCGT